GCAAATGTTGGCATTTGTTATTGCGCACAGATAACGCCTGCCAGAGTCCGATGTGGCCCCTGTGTTGGTCCAGCACATCTAACACGTGGCCCGTTTAGAGGGCACAAAAACGCACATACACACACGCGCGCACACACACCAGCGATTCTTTAATGTCCTGCACTACATGTACACTCTCATTTCTTACATTCTGTTTTGTAGAAATGGAGCCAAAAAGTTCCTTTCACGAATTATCTCCAGACGAGGTCGCATACAAGAATCCCTTTGTGCATCGTTTAAGTATTCCACCACTGCGTCGACTCCAAGTAAGTTATAGCCTACGACTGTTAAGACCTGATCTTTAGATGGGCTTGCTCGCCATCACCATCCTTCCCTTTCGCCTTCTGGGCATCGCGGTCTTCTTCATATGTGCTTTCCTATGCGCAGAACTGGCGACACGCTGGAGCGACCCAGAGAAACCCATGTCTGGCTTCAGAAAGTAGATCTTGAAATTCGGTCTTTGTTATTGCTTTCGCCTCCGATTCTAGAACAGTTCTGCGGCCTATCTTCCATTTCTTTGGGCGACTGGTATTCTTTTGTGCTGGGTTCCATTGGATCACCACGAAGGGCACTCGGGCCAGCCCAGAGGAAGCTCCCATCATTGTGCTGGCTCCACACTCCTCCTTCTTCGATTCCCTTGTTGTGGTGTTGCTCGGTCTGCCCTCGGTTGTGGGCAAAACCGAAACAGCCAATTCTCCCATTGGGTGCCTAATTAAAATGACCCAGCCTATTCTAGTAAATCGTGACGACCCCTCCTCTCGACAGAAGACCCTTCAGGAGATTCATCGACGCTCCCAGTCCAATGGCGAGTGGCCTCAGGTTCTCATCTTCCCCGAGGGCACATGCACCAACAGATCCTGTTTGATTAACTACAAACAAGGTACTTCGATCTCTAACCTTGTCTGTATGAAATGTTATTCAGTGTTCTGAGACATTTGCCTGTAGTTTTCCTTATAGAGAACGCATGCACCTTGCCCTAGGACGTGCTAACAGGTTCCTTAATGATAAGCGAGCTTCAGGCCTATTCACGTTGGATGCATGTTTAACCTTTGATTTGTCGAACCTTTGTGGATCGCATGGGCTCATTATAAGTCGACGTCTTCGCCGGATCCTTCGGGACGACAGGAATTCCCGAGTACCTCCACCACGGATGGTGAATAATAGAACTATCCGTGGCGGGGACTGGTTGAAAAGCGGGCAGTCTCACGCAGACCATGCGGCTGTAATACATACAGACAGGTCTGGTCACCAGTCGGGCAAATCATATACATGTAAGCGGATCACAAGTCATGGCGATATTATGGCATGGCAAGTGTTGTCCGTCGGCCAGTAGGACTTCACTCGCCGTCATCCGGCACAATCCAGGGGGTCGAAGGGGACGACCAGCCACGAACCGAGACGGGGGTGCCACGGGGAAGTCTTTCGTTCACCAAACCGTCCCCGCAACCAGTGTCCGGTCAACTGTGGCTCAACCTGCCCTTACGGATGGTCAGCGGCACTGAGAGGAACAATTTTCTCTCCACCAGCGACTGCTGCGCCACAGCAAGCGTCTTCATACAGATGGCCTGCCCAGCGGGACGATTTAGTCAGCTGATAGCACTGAAATCAACCGTGTTCTGGACATCCCCTTTTTCAGATCTCCGCATTGTGGCGCCACATGCTCTGCACGCTATGACCACAGCAGAGGTTGCAGCGTAACTGCTGCAGCTGCTGACGGTGACACCAATAGATTGTGAAGAATAGGCAATCCACCTGCCTCAAGCAGTACAGATGCGGTTTGGGCATCACTTACAGGACGCGCCACTGAGGTGGAAGAAGTCCTTTTTTCGATTTCTGAACCCAAGAGAGTTACCTATCCTAGCGACTTTTGAAGTTGCAGATACCGGCATCCCTGATGCGCTAGAACGAGTGAAGGACAAGAGGACCTGCATTCTACAGAAGTATACAAGGACTACTTGGTGGTGGCTAATTTTACTTTCTGCTAACCTCAGTTTGCAAAAGGGACCACGAAACTGCCGATATTTAAAAGAGACGACAGACTACTATGCGAGATCTGCTGCTGTGTCAGCCTCCTTGCCATTGTACTTGCTTGCACTTGGTTCGGTTGCGATCATGCGTGGTCTAGCCGGCCTTGATGATGTCCCACGCGTGACACTTCAACCCATTCTCTCCGCCAACGCCGGAGACCGAATACCGAAGGTCCAAGAACCACCTCTATGCCCTGACGGACTGTGCCGAGCCAGGTTTTGAGTTGACCTCCTCTTTGACGCCTCCAATGGGGGTAACAGTTCCGGATCAATGACAGTAACTCTGATCTCCCGAGGTGGACGACGGACATGCCCAAACCACCACAGTCGTCTTTCTCGGATGGCCTGGGTTATCCTTACGATGTCGCAGCGAGTGCGGTCTGACTCATTCGAGAACAAAGTCAGTGTGCTTCACTCGAAGGATGATTCTCAAGCAGTGATGGTTAAATACCTCCATTTTTCGCTCGTCCCCCACCCGTACCGTCCAGGATTCACAACCATAGAAAAGGACAGACCGGAAAGATGTACGGTACACGCGAATCTTAATGGCGATAGGGATGTCACGTCGGATCCACAGACATGAGATATGAGAAAACCGGGTGGGCTCCTTGCGACTGCCTTCAAAATCTACGACGAAGTCACTCGTTCAGCTCATTTGCGTTTGTGGCTTCGCACGTTTGCTGAGAGGGTGGACGGAGACATCAACCTATGATTCGCTGGAGAGTGGGCTGGGGACACTACAGGCAACCGTCCCTCCAACGGACAAGCCCATTCAGCCACTACTCAGTGAACCGCGGCGTAGTTAGGTTTTCGGATGCCTGGGAGGGGGGAGGAGGCTACACTTTGGGTGCTCGACTTGGATTTCTCGTGAGTAAATAAAACCGAGCGACGCAGCTTCCTGTTCAAAAGTAGCTTGGTTTGAAGCCCTTAAGTGAAGTTAGCGGGTTGGGCCTGCTAGAAGTTGCCGGCTGTAAAGTACCTGGGGGAAATGTTCCTCCAACAGATACGAAGGGCACCTCGGAGATACTCGGGGACAGAAGAAATTCTACGAAAGGCATGAGGGGATGCATGCCGACCTCAACTTTCAATGAACACTTGGGGCGGGTTCTGGAGCCTTCGTTAAGAGAAAATGGGATACGACGCCTTTTAACCGGCACAGCTCGCCAAGAAGCAGCGCGCGCTTGTCAAAGAGCCAAATGTATGGCCATGTTGCGTGTGAAGTGCTAAATCTACACATTAATTTAACGCCTGAGGCAAACGACTTTAAAACTTCCGCCTTGAGGCACTTCTTCTCGACGGTTGTTCAGAATTTTCTGTCGGAGTTTGCAGGTACGATCTGAGCCCTAGCTTGGTCGGAAATCACTGCGATCAAATTACGGTCATTTGAGGAACTTTTCAGGTCTAAATCAACTTGGGCGTAGACGAATCTTTCAGAGTACCCTTTGTCGAACTCGCATACACAGTCCCCCAGTACAGAAGCAGTGTGTACTTGTACTTGGCACAACCGTGGTCATGCCGACCTAGCCGGCCTCGGTGATGTCGCGACCGTACCTCTCCACGCGAGACGGCAGCGCATCCGCAGAGTCCGATCCACTCTTTCCTACAGCCGAATACCGGAGATTTAAGAACTACCTCCATGTCTCGACGAACTATGTAGAGGCGGATTTTGAGTCGACCTCATAGACGGCTCCAAGGGAACCGCGGGGTCGAATCAAGTACAGCAACGCCAAGTTCATGAGGCAGACGACAGAGAACGCGCCCAAAACCCCTCAGTCATCTTGAACGGCCCGAACTATCCTTGCGATATTGTCACAGCAAGTGCGGACTGTCCCATTTGAGACGAAGTAGGTGTATTTCATTCGAAGGATGGTCCTCGAGCGACTGCAGCCAGACACCTCTGGTTTTCAACTTATCTTCCATGCGCACAATCCATCATCTGCAGCCCGTATAGGAGGACTTATTGGACGGATGTGTGGCACTCGCGGATCTTCCTTGCGACGGAATGTCGCGTAGGGTCTATTGGTCAGGATTAGAGTTAGGACCAGTTCGAAACGTTACACTAACCACTCAACCCCCACTTTGAACCTAACACTGACCCCAAACGCGGATGCTTCTTACCCAACTGTGAACATAGGTAGTCAGACAACCAGGCGGGTAATCTTTGCGTTCGTAAGTCAGTTTCCACACGTACCTCTCAGCCGCCTTACGTGGTCAGTTTTGTCTGCGTGATTTGCTATTCTACTCGAAGACGTAGAAGGGTAACACAGTGGTGATATGAATTAAATAAATAGCTGGATAGCCCTCTGAGCAGATTAGGACTCCGACCGT